TATTTTATTCCCCTGAGTTTGCAGGACAAGGTTTATCTGTGTTTAAGATTGCCATTGTTTAGCACAAACGTTGTCTAGGCTACTGGGACTGGTCTTGAAAGAAATTGCCACGGGTTCTTCAATGAGCAGTAGCAGACATGAGTTTGTACATGAAAGTAGGCATTGACTTTCAGTAGCTAAATCTAGTATAATTTTGCTTATTAGTTTTATATTTTATCATGCTTATAACATTTTATAACATCAGCTTGAGGCAACATATCTCCCAATTGTGCAAAGCAGTGACTTCACTGAAATTACTCAGATGCTGCATCTACACATATATTTGCAATTGAATACTTGCTAAAATGATTTGTAGGCCTATGCCAAATTATTTTACTTGACCATCAGCATCACTCCAGTTTTGCTCAGCAATTCTTTGCAAATATCCAGTACAGGTACTGGTCAGTCTGATCTTTATTTTTTCTAAGCTGTTCTGTGCATCCACGTTCCTCTGCTGCATTTGTCGATGAATTCAAGAAGCCTGCCATTTTCACAGCTCAGGCGATACAAGCATAGTGGAGGCAGGGAAGAAGAAAGCAACTTCCTAAAATGCAGTCGTTTTATTGCTTAAAAAAGTGATTAAAGCATCTGCTTTAGTTTTCATGATGTTGCAAATCTGTTACAGCTAGAACAGTTCAAGATTTTTTTTGAAGATGGGAAGTAGTGTCTTTTCCAACAAAATTGCCATTTGTTCATTGAAGAAAGTTAGTTTCTTATAAAAAAAAACTAACTGAAGAATGGCTTGTTTCCTTACAATATTTTTTTAATTATTACCAATATTTTTTAATACCTCTGTAAACTTTCCATAAATTTTTATATGACAGGTTCAGCTGCAATGCTCACTTCACATTCACACTCCTTCTCCTCCTTCATCCTCTAATTCCTTCAACCTCTGATTCCTGCCTTCTCTTCTCCCCACCCCAGGCTGCTGCAGGTGACCTCTTGAAGTGTAATAACACAGACTTTCATTTTTCTTTGATGATCTGTTTCTAGCCTAGATTAGTACCCTGTCAGCATTGTGTGTGCCTTGTATTGAAAGGCTTCGTCTGGCTTGCTTCAAATAGAAGGAGGTCCTGATTTTCTTTAAATTGTGATTTTAAAGTGTTAGGCAATGCTGGTTCAGTTTGCAGGACACGTGATCCTTTACAGATTGTTTCATTTTTTTCATTTGGTTGCTGGAGAAGAATGAATTTGTGATTAGATGAAATTTAAAAGCAGTTACAATCAACCACACCACCAGATGGAGCTTCTTTTCTGCCTTTCTCACTGAAGGTGCTGGAACTGTGGGACTGAATTCACTGGGACTGTGGGACTTAACTGTATTTATAGTCAATTAAATAGAAAACTCTTTTTTTTTTTCTTTTTTTTTTCCCTTCACTTCTGGTGATGCAGGATTGAGAGTGTCTGCATTCATATATGGCTGTTTCAATGATTTTTATTTGTATGTTGTTAATGATAGCTATCGTGCCAGTCCTTTGCTTTTGCAGGATTAGGCTGTATCATGCAGTCCTGTTTCTTGTTCGCGCACTTGAGAGTTTTCAAGTATAGGCTTACTTGTTAGAATGGTACAGTAATATTAAAGCAGCACTTATTTCTGCTCTTTTTTTTTTTTTTCTGCTGTAAAAATGATTAACATTCTTTAGAAATGCAAATCTCTCTTTGTTCAGACCACTACATAATCTATTTTATTCACTGAAATTCAACTCTGAAGTCTGCTTTGTGCTTTTAGCAGTATTCTATTGTGGTACAGATACCTAGTTGCTGGTATTATGTACATCGTCTGAAGTTAACGATGTTCAGAAGTCATGAGAATTGATATAAATGACTGTGATAAACGTTTTCTCTCTTACAGGTTATACTTAATCAGGCACCTGGTTTGCTGTCTACTGTCTCAGCTTAGCAATTGAGAACAAACTGTAATTGAGGCAGTCCTGGGGAACTGCAAAGACACAGGGTTAAATTTATTCCTTTTTCAGCGTGTTGGAAAACTACACGTTCCAGCAAACAATTTTTAACATTGAGTTTATACAGCAAGATTACTTGGAAAGCCTATTCCTGTGTTTTAACCCAAGTGGAAGAAATGAGTCTGACGTACAACTTACCTGGCTGTGACTGCTGGACTGAAAATGTTGCCCTGCATTTGCCAGGAGGTACTGGAACAGGCTACATTGCACAACTCTATTTTCCCAAAAGACAGGGAGGTATCTGAGCTGATGAGGTCAGGTTACCATTCCGTTATGCCACGTCAAACACAACTGTAAAGACCGGCGGAGGCTACGCCAGCTGACGTCATGAAGGTCCTTCTGACCAGCCAGCCAATTCTGTTGTCCTAGGAGAGGCCAAATGAGTTCACACCGCTATTGATTTTGAGTGAGCTACATGCCTTGCTGTTTGTGACAAACACAGAAATACAAAACAGAATTAATGTGGGTACAAGTTCATGTCATTTTCCATTTTCATGTCTTATTCCCAATGGGCAAAAATATAATGCCTTAGAGGGGAAAAAAATATAATGCCTTGGGCATCTAATGTTCATGGGCTAACAACTCAAAAAGCTGGTCTAGAAATGTGTGGTTTTGTCATTTATGTTTTATATACTTTCTAGGAGTTCATTTTGGAGAGTATGTCAAGCATTTGGAATTTTCAAGTGTCCTTAGTCAAGAGGTAAACATATCTTCTGTCTGAATAAGCTTCCTTACAGAGTTTTAAGAAGACATTGTTTTTTGTTTTCCAGAGGCAGTCTGCTAGGTGGCAGGGCAGGAGCAAAATCCAGCAATTTAAGACAGACAGCAAGAAAAAAATTTATTTTAATAGCTCAGCAACAATTTTGGGGGTAGAATGCCCTTTATATCAAACTACTCTGGATAAGGTGGAGCTTCGTTCTCACTAAAGTTCAAAGCAATATACTAGCATAATTTAGGGCAAGAATTCGATCCAAATTATAGTTTTCCTAGATTGCTGAATAAAAAATGTACATAAACATAGAGGGTTTACATGTGAGAACCAGGATCCTAGCGTTCATCAGAAACCTTTGAAAGAGACGTGGTTCTGCAACTTTCTGGAGATCCACATTAAAGCAAACAAAACCCATAAAACAAAACCCTTTTCAACTCCTATGCTGTGAATACATTTTGAAAGCTGAAACCCTTTTTTCTCACTGATAATCTGAACTTTTCCTTTTCAAAGACTATTTGGGTTAAATTGTTGACATGCAACTGTAAGTCTCTCTATTAGGATGGCAGCTTGTATGTGGGAGGGCTTTTTATCATAATACGATTTACTGATTAAAAGTCTGACAAATGATTTAAGATTTTCAGTGTACCACATGAATATAAAAATTTTACATAATAAATATCTTATAAATATCAGAGGTATTAAACCAGGTCTTGACACCTCTAAGAGCCACAAGAGCCAAGCAACTGGTTCTTGTGAAATCTTCTGAAATCTTAGTGAATGGAAAGTTTTTGTGCAACATGGTTTTGTCACAGTTAATGCCAGCTCCAGTCTGAATTTAGTTCAACCATGTGGAATCTTTTCCATGCAATATCTGCAAAACAGAAAGTAAAAAAACCAAACCACCAAACCCAAGATGAATCCTTTGTGCTTGTCATGAAGAATGGGCTTGATTTTATACCAGATGCAGAGAAATCTCAGACCTACTGAAATAATTACAAAACTCCAACTTTGAAAAGGTTAGCATTTCACCCAAATGAAGGGACATTCCTTGCCTTATTGCCAAATACTCGGTATTAGTAATTGAGAAGGACATTCCACATCATTACAGGACATACAGCCATTGCTGTAGTTCAGGAAAACTGAATAAGTACATTTTCATGTATGTCAAGTAATCTCTACATCCCATAAGGAACGTCAGATGCAAGTCTCCTGAGAGAGAAGACAAAATATACAGCAGACATCTCTAAAAGTGATTGTCTGAGAGACTCAAAGCTCTAAAGGATTTTGCTTGCTGAGCATCCTGCAGAAATCCAGTTTAAATCTTCGTATTTAAGATTTGGAAACTAAAGTAATCACTTCCAAATATTTGTTTCCATTTCAGTACTTTTTTCATTACAGATCTAATGCGTGCCTTTTTGGACTACACCTGCTTGGTTTTCCTGCATAGAGAAGAAAATTAGGTCTAATAATCTAACTTCTAAACAATTTCTATTCAGATTGTATAGACCCACTGAGTTTTTCATTCAGTGTTTGACCATCCTCACAAACACAGTAAACTGAAATCCTACCCTTATTAAAAACACAGAGAAGCTAGAATTTCCCATGGGATATGAAGTATTTTTTTTAATAATTGAGAAGGCTATTAATATCCTCCCTACCATTTTTGTACAAGTAACGTGACTGTTAAAATTGGGATGAAGAACTACATGATTTTCAAAGTGAAGCAAGAAGATCGTTCAGAACAAATGCTGCTAGAATTCGAGAAAAGATGTTATTAATTTTGTGTATGAACTGTGATAATCCCTGCATATTTCTAAATCCCTGTAAATTGTTTGATAGTGCTTAGAAGTTACTAGTCATTCACGTTTTCTGATAAGCTATTGTTATGGGAGATTTTCTTAGAAAATACTTGAGTGGGAAATTGGAGGTGTTTGGCATATTTGACCTAGGTACATCCAGAATTAGAATACTTTGCTCTTGCACTAACTGGAAAATCTGATAGTTTTGGATTTGAAAGTTGAAGCTAATATTAGAAGTGCATAAAAAGCAATGATGAACAGTGCTTGAATGAGCTTCGGGATTCCATTGTGTGGTTGAGTTGAATCAACAGAGTCCCCCAGTTACTTGACTCCGGGTGTCTGCAAACAAGAAGTATTTTCGTGTTCATTTTGTGTCCAAATGATGATGAGTATTGATCAAAGCAGCTTAAGCAATTTATTAAATTGCACATTGAATAAAGCTCCAACCCCAAACCTCTGATCTAACGAGTTCTGAGTACTACGTACCCATGCAATCATAGCGCGAATTGAGAAAGCAACACCATGGATTGCTTACCAGTGATTTGCACATTCTTTTTTTTTTTCGTGTCATTCAGTAGCCATCTTAGGATGCAGACGCTCCTACAAGGTGTGTGTGCTGAATGCGGGATGGGGACAAGGTTGGGGGAAATGAAAGAAGAAGGTGCTGTGTTGATCCTGTGTGTGGTTTTTGACCTTAAACATAAGTGGTCAAAGCTCAGGGAATGCAAAAGCCTCCTGGCTGCAAATCTCCTTTCTCTCTTTTACGAGGAAATCCCTCCACTTTTATCTCAACATTTTCTCGAATAACTAACGTGGTAAATAGTACTTAGAAGCCTGACACCCTGGTTGTCCCGTTCTTTTAAGAGAATCCATTTTGAAATATTTCAGAGACAATACTAAATGCCTCCTTAACTAATGTCCGCTGGCATAATTTGTTGCATAGTTGAACATCTGTTGTAAAGGTTTAGCTGATTTTAAATTACTCCCTTTCAGAATGCTAGCAATCAATTACCGCTAAAAATCTGACTTCCCTGTGTATGCCATTAATTGCCTGATTTTAATTCTTTTCCTGCAATACGGATTCCTGTTGCCTTAACTGCTTTTCCTTAATTTCTGTGAACAGTAGTCCTTTTTGCAGGCCTGTCTCCCAGAGTTACGGGATATATAAGAAATGTATATTAATTGCTACAATATTCCTTAACTTTTATCAATATTTACAGTAAGTTTCTTTTTCACTGTCCCTTATTTTGCTTGAACCTTTCACATTGCTCTGTAATTTCTAGTAGTCCAAATGGTTTTGCCTTATCAGCGAATGGCACATTTTTTCCCTTTGCCGCTTAACATTTGTTAACGATTTGGCAAGCTGAGAAAGCAGGCGTTAGTGGAGTAAACACCACATGAGGAAGTAAGGGCTGGTTTCTTCATTTCTGTTTTCCTTGCCATAAAATAGATGCTGCTTTCAGAAAGTAAAGGAGTAGTATTGTATTTTATCTGAGGAATCTTGACCATATTGCAAGTACTAAGCACCGTTACTCACACATCATCTATTAATTTTTCTTCTTTCCAACCTGATAATTTGAGGTGCCGCAAGCCCCAGATAGGCGGGTCGTGAGGTCTCATTTCCAGGCGCAGGTAAGACAGCGCCGGCATTGCAACCTGTTTTCATCCAAGCGAACGCTGACAGGAGAGTGGCCCAACATTGTCGCCCATTGCTGGTCAGGAGCAATGGTGAACACACGTGAGAGCGGTGCCTTCCCTGCCAACAGTCGCGCATGGGAAGACGACAATCGTTTCCCTCCTCCTTGTGCTGCATCCCAGACCTCAGCTGAGTAAGTCAGGAGCATGCTCTGTGGTTTAGCACCATTAAGTTGAGGCTGGTTAGTTCAAAAAGCTTAAACGATGGCACACCAGCTCACTTGGATGGGAGTAGATAAAGAAGCGCTCCTATGAAGGGTTCAGCCAACAGCCTGGTGAACGTGGCAGCTTGCGGCAGCGTGGTGGTGAGAGCAAACTGGTATTTGTCATGTTTTCCATTAGCACAGCTGGTGCCAGAGAGAATGTTTGCCCTTCGTTCCTCTTCTTAAAATGCTCTAAACTGAACTACTAACAAATGTCGAGTGCACAGCCAGAAGCTAGAGGAGTCAGATTATTTGGCACTTCTAACTAACCATTTGCCGTTCAACTCTTCAGTCAAGGCGCAGTAAGAACATCCTCACAGCATTGTCTGCTGAGGAAACTGTTCAGTGGTGTTTCGGCTGCTTTGACATTCATTCCTCCGCGTGGCCCAGACTGCGCACTCAGTTGAACTGCACTGTATTCACTCACGTTGGGAGGCTGCTTTTTGGCAACCTGACTGATGCTAAAAATAAAACAAACTATGCAAAGCAAACAAAAAACCCCTCCAATAAATCCATAGTGGGAGTGTGTTGCTTCAAGAAGGTAGCCCGTTATTTGCATATACTTTTTAGTGTCTCTTCCATGAGAAAAAGAATGGAGGGAAGTTTAATAATGGAGTATTTTTGCAATCATCTGTGCAAATCGCCCCCAGACAATAGCAGTGGCACACACAAAGTATAGAATTAAGCTTGGAAAATTCTCAGATATGGATCTCACCATACTAACAGAAATATTTTGTTATGAGGATATTTTGTTATGAGGATGCTGTTCACTGTACATCATACTCAGAAAATAAACCTGAGGAAGATTCTAATTCTCTTTATTTGTTTAAAAGGCAAAGCCTGTATTTTGGTTTTCCTCCTTGTTTTTTTTTTTTTTTTGTTATTAAATGGAAACTTTGGAGACAGTCTGACTGTCAAAAAGAATGCATGTGCACATGCGTGTGCCTCCTGAGCCTTTGCACTTGATTTTCCACAAGCAGAATACTGCTGGTAGCAAGTGTGGGTAAAAAATGGTTACAGAGATTTGCTTAAAAAATAGGTTATATTTTAAAAGGTGGATGCCTTTGGTGTTCCTTTTACCTTTGGAGTTTTGCCCTCGAGTTCGGGTCTCAAAGCTTTTCTCTGCAGCTGGGATAGGTGGAAACCAATTTAAACATAAAAGCCGAGGGGGGGTGGGGGGTGCCTCACAAGCGCTGAGCTGCGGG